ATTGGGTATTTTCCTAACTATTTCTAGGCACTATTTTGTGATATATGATGTTTTACAAGGTCTTATATGTTTGAATAGACACATTTTAAATTGTGTATAGGCAGAATTCCATTCCTCCACTATGACAGGTTCTCTGAAAATGCTGCTTTTATCTTTCTTCTGCCGTGATAAACTTTAATGTTGGAGGGTTGTAAGCTCTCATATAATAAGGCTTAGGTTTTTGTTTGGTTTGGCAGTAGACTTCTGTTTAAAATTCCTTTAATCTGTTCATTCCATGCTTTTTATATCATTTTGATAGCTGATGGCTCTGTGAAGAATTTTATATGAATTTATTGCACTAATAAAACTTGTACTTGTGACTCTTCTTCCTTCCCAACTTGCTTAAAAGTGGATTTTCCAGTGAATTGCTGAATTTTTGTCTTACTTAGGTTTTTTTTTTTTTCCCCCTGGAGGAAATAAGAAACACTTCATATGTTAGATCTAAAGTTTCATTAAAATTGCTTATGCCCCGTCTCAGGCATTTAAAGTGGGCCATCTGTCTAAACATCTCTCTCTTTTTTTTCTGATCATTTCCTCGACTTATTCATGAGCCATGGGAGGGCTCCTTTGTAGTCTCCATGTAGCTGGTTCTGTCTACCCCCATTGAATACATCTATGTGCTTGCATAACATATCTTTTCACCATGCTGGAAATTCTCTGAACTTGGTTCAGATGAATGGCCCACTTTTCTGAAGGCCTTTTTTTTTCCTGCACAGATTTTTATGCAGAAGCTGACCTCTGTGGCTATGGAATGTAGCATATTATTCTTGATCATTTTACAGACCACCTACTGTGAAAGTTATGATGAAGGATTGCTTAATGATTCTTTGACCACTAACATTGTTTTAACTCAGTGTTTTACTCCTAAATAGGTAATGGCACAATTGGAAACCAGCTTTTCTGAGTGTCTGATAATATGGCTTAGAAATGCTTATAATTTTTGCTAACTAAGGATGCTCTTATTTATGTTTGCATAAAATCTGCTTTAAAAAATGGCATGTATTAACAGTGTATTTGAGTTAGTATTACGTGTACTTTATTTTGACTAAAATATTTCAATAACCTAAATGTATTAGCATTAATATTTGTGACAATCCACTGATAGTTTTTATCATAAAATATAGAAAAATTTAGTTTTATTGAGCATATTCATTCTGGCTGGTTGATGATAATCAAAGTAAGCAGGTCTGGGGAAGAGCTATTACTTGATTTGCTTTGTGAGTAGCTATTTATGTGAATTCCTTTTCACTTTTTATTTTATTTTATTTATTTGAGAGAGAAAGGAGGGAGAGGAAGAGGGGGAGGAGGGGAGATTAGGAGAGAGAGAGATACTGCTTTGTCGTTCCTCCTATTTATGCATTCATTGGTGGATACTTGTATGTGCCCTGACTGGAGATCAAACCCACAACCTTGGTGTATTGGGATGATACTGTAGCCAACTGAGCTACCTGGCCAGGGCTTACTGTTTGTTTGTTTTTTGGGGTGACTGTGTTTTGAAGTGGTAGTTTAAATTATATCAGCTTTCCAGGTAACTTCCAAGTTGTACAGATGAAATTTTTGATCAGATGGTAGGTTCTTTCATCTAGATACACTACTTCAGTAAAGTAGCTGTTTTCTGAGTATTATTACTATGAAGGGTTGAGTGAAGCTCCAAGAGTTTTGCCCCCCTCTTTTTTAGAGAGTCATTTATAAAAATCTTCTCTGAGACTATTTTAGATTTATGGATAAATGTAATTATTTTCAAAAATTTAAAATGTAACTTTAGATAATTATTACCATTATAAACATGTTTATGCTGGTAGAATTGATATCAATCATTGTTAATGTAGTTTCAATAATTTTGAAGAAATAGTGCATATGTACTTTTAGGTTGGTATGTATTGTTATTTTTATTTATAGTTTATTATATTTTATTTCTACTGCAGAACTTACTGATAATTATATTGAGCATATTTGTTCAACCCTATCCATTTTATTTAAAAACAAAACTATTTTCAAACTTATGTAAAGCCAGAAGAAATCTTAGCAAATCTCATTTGTGGAAGAGTGAATTCATAAAGAGATTTCCACAGTGACTGACTTTTCTTAGTAATTCAAGGTTTTGCTTTCACAGTGAAACCTCTTTCCTATATCCTACTAATGTATCACCTTAAAATAAATTTTTAAAGAAGTGCCACTTCAGGGTTATGTGCTGAGAAGAAACAACAGCTTTATCCTGTTACCTCCCCAACTTTTCTCTGGTCCATATTTTACAATTGTGGAAATTTTGGTTGCAAAGTATTGATCGAGTTCCTTGAGACATTGCTAGGAAGAGAAAGGGCTGAAATGAGACCTCAGCGTTTTGACTCAAAGGAGTCTGTGCTGTTAAGTTCCCTCTTGGGGAGGTTATAACATATACGAAACAGATGTGGATCAAAATAAAAGAATGGGAAAATAAATAGTAATTAGGTTCTGAAGAGAGGCAACTGAATCTCAACATCAGCTATAAGATTGCTTTCTGTGTGGGAAATGGTATTTTGGGTTTGAACAGAGTGTTGGGATCAACAAATTTCCTGCTCCCCTGGAAACAGGGGCTTGTTGCATAACTAAAAAGTTTCTCCTCATTTACTTGAAATAGGTACCTCCACTGGGCTGCTAAATTGTGAAAATATTAAACCTATAATATTGGTTAAGTGGAAGGGAGATCACTGAAGTTTGTACTATAATTAGCGAAACAGTTTATGAGAGAGAATATTATAGAAAAATCTCTTAGTTTGAGAAGCAGAGAGAAGGAATTCAGTTTCCTTACAGGGATTTCAATTATGGGGTAAAACAAGGATAGAGGCCTAGAGTTGGGTCTAATCATAACAATAAAAGTTAACATTTACATATATTGTTTACTTCAATCCTCAATACATCATTACAATGCAGATACTATGATTATCTTAATTTTACGCATAAGGAAGCTGAAACTTGAAAGTTTGCTCAAGGTCAAACTATTAATGGCAAAGTAGATATCACCAGAGCCTGAGTTTATAACCACTGTGCTGATTTCTCTTGCTTATCTTAGCTTGACTTGGTTTGGTTTGAGAAGCAACTGAAGCACCTGGCCCAACCAAGTCAGAGAATAATCAGAAATAAAAATGGATACAAAGAGTGGGGTCTAATTTTTAAGGAACTTGAATGATAGATAAGTTAAGATTTAACCTGATATGAATAGAAAATCTTGGAACAGTCTAGAACAGGAGAGTAAATACGGAGAACAACAAAGATTTAAGAAAGCCATGTTGCACAGTATTTATCTACGAGGGTATTTCTGGTATCACAATACCCCTGAGAGGTCAGGGTGTTAATCATGGTTGAAGGGGAACAAAGTGAAGTCTAATGAGGTCATCTGCATAGTCCAAAAGCAGTCAGGTTGTAATCTAGGAGCTCAAGTTCACTCTCCTTCAGTGGCTCATGCTTTGCCCCTTGGGTGACATGTCCTCTGCTGTACGCACACAAGTAGTTGCTTCTCAAATTTTACTATTTCTCCTATCACTTCAGCCCTTTTTCTGAACTCTGTGCTGGAGTTGGGATACATAAAAATAAGGCATGATCTTGGTCCTTTAGAAGCTCACAGGCCAACAGGGGAGACAAATATAAACAAACAAATGCCCTGGGGAATAGAATGCCAAAAGAGAAGTGGAATTGGAGCACAGAAGGACTCTCCTCTTTTTCCTCTCTGTGCCATGCCTTCTCTTCTGTTTCCTCTCCTCCTTCGTTCCCTCTCATATGTTCCCCTGTTGTTCTTTCCAGTTCTCAAGTGTAAAGCTCTGTCTTCTGAAACAGTTCTCTTCAAATTGCGAAGAAAAAGAATCTTCCAGGCTTATAGTGTAAAATATTATTGATTTGTTGAAGCATTTTTTTACTTTAATTTTTACTTATATAGTATTTAAAACATTTCTTTATCTTCAGGAAATAAATCAATAAGTAGTGGGATGAATACAAATATCCACCTAAATGATTAATTATCCTCCATTACACATTATGTCTAGAAGTGATTTGATTATATTCAAAGTTTTTTGAAACTCTGACTTTAAAAAAGAATTGAATACTCAGAGAATCCTTTTGAAATCACTGGTGGTGAGGAAGTAGTTTAAATTATAACATTACCTACAACATTTTTTCAGAACTATGACTTAGGCCAGAGTCTGAATACAGCATATTTAGTGGTTAGTATATTACTTCACAACTATAAATAATGTAAACATGTAATACTTAAAAGTAGTTCAATTCAGAGGTCATTACAATTTTGTAAATTTAAAGAATTGTGCAGAATGTTTGTATTCTAAAAATGCTTTTGTCTCTGGATGCTTTACACAATTTTCCTGGGCCATGTAATATTGATCATACACAAGAAAAAACCTGTGTGTTAAGACCAGCATTACTCATGTTGTTTATATTCTTATCAAAACAAACAAAACCAAAAACAAAAGAAAAATTTTGGAGGTGATGGAAATATTTATTACCTTGATTGTGGTGATGGTAACATGAGTGAATAAATATGTCCAAATTCACCGAGTTGTATATATTAATTGCGTGCAGTTTTTTTGCAAACTCAATAAAGAAAACACTAGCATTGTAGTTTTTTAAAAACAGTCTTGGACAGTAATCAAATATTGAAAAGAAATTAATATTGCTTAGGGAAGGTTAGTCTTTGAAGAACTGTCACAAATAAAGCAACTGAATTCATAGAATAAAGGATGGTACTTCAAGTAGTTGATAGTACCACAATTATCCCAGAATGAGTGCTGTTGTCCTTGGAGTGTCCTTGTGTAGGTTTTTATTTTTTTAATCTCTCTAGTTTTTTTCAAGGATTGAACCTTTTAAAATAAAATGTCCTGAAATATAGTCTTCACACTTAATGTCAAAAGAAAACCAGTTTACTGAGAGGGAAAAATATGAAATTATTAACTGTTTTTCTTTTCTTTCTACTCCAGAGTGCCTATTGTTAAATCACAAGTGGCTAACTGGGAGCTTTCAATAAAATTGAATGATGAAGTTCATACTGTTGTAGCATCAAACAGTGGGAAAACATTCTCTGTAAGTTTTCTTTCTTTCTTTCTTTTTTTTTGTCAGCAGAGGTAATCTTGAAATTTTCTATGAATATTTAAAACAAATTTTAACTTCATCAGTGACTGTCATCTTTTGAATCTATTTGTTTGAATGTATTTGTTTCATCTTCTTTATGAAGCTGAATGTAAATAGAAATTTCTTTCTTCTATGGTAATTAGGAAATGCATTTCTATATTTAGCCACATTCTAAACCCAACTCCTGATACCTGATTCATTTTTCTTTTGTTATTGAGATATTTTTACCTTTGTTATAGAGGAGAACATCTTTAATTATAATTCCAAAAGTATGATAGCTGTGGTAGGTAACCATTCTTTTAAATTGATAATCTAAAGCCTCATAAAACATTTTCTTGAGTTATCATGTTGAGACATTCTTGAGGCTAAATTTACCTTATGGTGACATTTCTTTTATTTTGAAGAACTTAAAACCCTTGGATAATATCCATGACAAAACTGCTTTAGTTTAATTCGTGTCTGTACTGAATAATGTTACAATAAGATTTAGTGTTTGTACTATGGTATGAAGTTATTATTTTAGCTTGTGTCCCTTTCTAGTTTCAGCATGAACCCAGAAACTACTATGTAGTTAGTATAATAAATATTATATAAATTTACATTCCTTCTCTCAAGAGTAAGTTGCATGGAAATGTCATTTTGTTTTTGGGAAAAATGACTTTTCATTGAAAGATGTAAACAGGCCATAGCCTGTGTGGCTCAGCTGGTTGGAGCATTGCCCCATAACCGAAGGAATGCAGGTTTGATTCTCGGCCAGGGCACATACCTAGATTGCAGGTTCCATTCCCAGTCTGGGCATGTACAAATGATTCCCTGTTGGAGTGCATACAGGAGACAACCAATCCATGTTTCTCTGTCTCCCTCCCTCTCTATCTAGAAGCAATTAAAAAAATGCCCTCAGATGAGGATTAAAAAAAAAGATTTAAACAGGATATAAATATCACAATGATACAATTTCACTGAAATAAGATCTGCTGAGATTTTAAGTGCATGGCAGTTTCTTGATGCCAACTAGAAAATGCCAGAAGTAGAGAAAAATGAGGATTTATTTATTCAACAAATACTTATAATATGCTGGCCATGTGCTAGATAGAAGTGCTAAACTGTTGCACTGGAGAAGCTGACATTCTTATGAGGTAGAGTCACAAGTAAATGAGATTGCTTCATGAATTAATGGTAGTCTCCTTGGTTCTCTTTAAATTTTGTGATTCATTCTGTATGCCAAAACTGCTAAAGCATTTGTTGCTGAAAGATGTTTCACTCAACTCTCTTAAAATGAAAGCTTTGATGGGGTTAAAAAGTTGTCTTATGATACATTTTTGTGATGAACTTACGTGATTCTTTACATTCCTTTTTTCTATGTGATTGTTTTAAAAGAATAGCTTTGTAAGTGGACAGTAACAAATTATATGTACTGTAGAGAGTATTAATATTATTATGTAGCATTTTCCTGGGGGAAGATTAACTTTACAAAATTGTAGACTTTAGCATATTCTATCTTGAGTCACTACTGTCTGTAGTGGTAATCTGATACCTTAACACTATATTTTTCTAAGCAGTGCCTTGCCTTAATAACTGCCCTGGTTACTTCTTAGAACTGTTATTTCTTGTGCTTGTTTAGATTCCATGTTGGAAAACTAGAGGCACCTCCTGTTTCACTTTTTAGCTGATGAGGAAGTAGGGCTATTTTAAAAACATCAAAATTAATGCATTACAAATTACCCTGAAAAATAACTACTTCCCATATTTATTGGCTTAGCTACTATCAGAAGTATCAAATCTATTGAAAAGAGAGTATTCCTGATTGCATATTCCTTTTTTCCTAAGCATATTTGTATTGAGTTTCATTTGACATCAGTATTATGAAAAGAGTTAATTTGAATTATATGGAGTAAGTAAATGCTCGTTGGTATGAAGATTTAAATGGTACAGAACCCCTGCTTTTAGGGTCTGAGAGGAGAGAGCTGTGACTATTTACTTGGTTTCCTAGATTACCTCCTGCCACATCAAGCAGAAGTGAATTAGCCCAGAGGTGACAGTATAGGTTAATGACCCCAGACATAGTAAAGGAAAAGTCATACTTGCTTAGCCCACAGTAATGCTTCAGATACCCCACGTTTTCACACTTCTTTTATTTAATTAAAAAAATGTTTAAGTTATAAGATATTTCATATTAGAAAAGCACATCAAATGTACAAATTTTATGGTTTCCTCTTAAAAAAATTTATAGGTACAGCTAAATCCCTTCTTTACATCACTGCATTTCTGCCCTCTTACTCCCCAGAGGTGAGAGCTATCATGAAGGTACTGTCTGTCCTTCTTGTACATGTTTTTATACTTTCACTGTGTATATATGTACCAAATAACAGTGAAAAAGAAAATTATGAAGATATAAATACTGAACGATACCATTTATATAAGATTTAAAAATACACAAAGCAAAAACAATTCCATTTACAATAGCATAAAAAAGAATAAGGTACTTAGGAATAAACTTACTTTTGGAGAAGAGAGACTTGTACACTGGAAACTACAGTGCACTAGAAACTACAAAATGTTGCTGAAAGAAATGAAAGAAAATACAAATAAATGGAATGTCATTTCATGTTCATGCATTGGAAGACTTAATGTTGTTATGATATCAATACTACCCCGAGCCATCTACAGATTCAATGCAATCCTTATCAAAATCCCAACAAAGTTTTGCAGAAATAGAAAAATCCATCCCACAATTCATATTGAATCTCAGGGTACCCCAAATAGAAAAAAAAATCGCATAAGAAGAACAGAGTTGGAGAGCTCACACTTTCCCATTTCAAAGCTTAAAACTAAAGTGTGTTGTACTGAAAGAACACAGATACATAGACCCGGAGTAGACTTGAAAGCCCAGAAGCCCTTGGTTATATGGTCAAATGATTTTGATTGGAGTGCCAACATCATTCAGTGGGAAAGGATAGTTGTTTCAACAAATAGTGCTAGGGGAGAAGGGTTATGGGGCTGGATGAAAAAGATGAAGGGATTGAATAAAATAGATAAAATAAAACAAAAAATGAAATTGGGTTCTGCCTTAAAGCATATATAAAATTAACTAAACATGTATTCAAGATGTAAATGTAAGAGCTAAAGCTATAAAACTCTTAGAAGAACACATGGGAAGAGCCATATAATATTAGATTTGATGGTCATTTCTTGAAAATGACATTGAAAGCCTAGTTAACAAAAGAAAATAAAGGTAAATTAGTCTACATCAAAATGTGAAACTTTTGTTCATCAAAGGACACAATCAACAGGGTGAAAATGCAATCCACGGAATAGGAGAAAATATATATCTGACAAGGAATATTATCCAGAATATATAAAGAATTTCAACAACTCAACACCAAAACAAACACATAACCTGATTTAAAAATGGGCAAAGGACTTGAATAGACATTTTTCCAAAGAAGATAAAAATATATAAATGGCCAATATGCACATGAAAAGATGTTAAACATGACTAACCATTAACAATATGCAAATCAAAACTATAATTAAACACTAACTCACAGCCCTTAGGGTGGCTACTATCAAACAACCTCCAGAAAATAATAAGTATTGGTGATAATGTGGAGAAATTGGGGTCCTTGTGAACTGTTCATTGAAGTATGAAACGATGCAGCTACCGTGGGAAATAGTGATTTTTCAAAAAATTAAAATTAGGATTACCATATGGTGAGCAATTCCACTGCTGAGTATTTATCAAAAAAAAAAAAAAAAGGAAAAAAGAAAAAAAAGGAAGCAAGGTCTTGACTGATATTTGTACACCCACATTCAGCAACATTATTCACAATAGCCAAGAGATGGAAGCAACCCAAACGTCCATTGACAAATGAATGGATAAAGAAGATGTGATATGTACACACAGTGGAATATTATTCAGCCTTACAAAAGAAAGAAAATTCTGGCACTTGGTACAGCATGAACAAACCTTGATGATATTACAGTAAGTAAAATAAACCAGTCACAAAGGAATAGTCAAATTTGTAGACAGAAAATAGAATGATGGTTGCCAGGGGCTGAGAGGAGTGGGAGATGGGGAATTGTATTTTAAAGGATGCAGAGTTTCAGTTTTGCAGGATGAAAAGAATTCTGGAGAGGGATTGGCAATGATGGTAGCAGGTAGCACAAAAATGTATGTGTATTTAATACTATTCAACTGTATACTTAAAATGGTTAAGTTGGTAAAATTTATCTTATATAAAAATTTTTTAAATACACAGACCAATGCAAATTAATATTTTAATGAAATATTAAAAAGCAGGGAGGATAAAACTTTTAGGAAATGAAGAAAGCATGGTAGAACTAAAAGTTAAATGAAGAAGTAGTAGAAAAGGTATAATATCTTATGTGTTTTAAGTCTTTATTCTGATCTGAATACAAGTGTCACAGTGAATAGATTAAGAATTAATTAAGAAGCATAAAACCTGGTAAACACAAAGTTGAACTATTATTTAGCTTATAAAGATGATGAACTCAAAAGTATCAAAAATAAACTATCTGTTTATATTATTTTTACAATTCCCCTTTGGTTTCTCAAGAAGGTATCCATTTCTTTTTTATCTTGAATAATGTGAAACTGGTCACAATAGTTCATGATAAAAGAAGAAAAGATTAATGCATTTGCTACCTTAATGATGACAAAGCACTAAATTCATACTGAAGACTGTTCACATCAGAGAAAAATGTCAGTGTACTTTTGATAGGAAGAAAATTAGCTTTGAAATTCAGCCTTCCCAAAGATGGGAAAATGAATACTGTGCATGTACTTTAATTTTGTTTTGCCTGATCTGTCATGTTAACTACTAATAAGCTATAAAACATTTGTACATTAGTCTAGATATCATTTGTTACATACAGTAAGCCACATATAGAAAAATTTCTAAAGACTTTAACTACTTCATAAGAAAAAATGA